ATCACTTGAGCCCAAGAGTCTGGGGTTGCTGTGAGCTGTGACACCATAGCACTCCACCGAGGGTGGCATAGTATGAGACTCTGTTTCAAATAAGTAAGTCTAGCCCTCAAGAATAACTCCAGCTGGGATGAAAGGGCTCTCTCATCCAAGCATGCAAAGGCTGGGCCAATGGAAGCATGACTCCTTCCCTGCCCTGAAGTCACACCCTGTCTAACCTCCTGAAAGGTAGAAAGAGCAAAGGTGGTAATGAAACTGGAAAGAGCAGGTCACTCACCTATTTGGGACTGGGGTATAAAATTTGAGAATTTCTTGAACTTGGCAATAAAGAAACCATCCATATTGTGGGTATGAGGGTAGAAGCGACGAGTGGAACGAAGAGAGGGGTGGAAGCGTCTTTCTCGAAAGCGGGTAAAACCTTCTTGACCAAAGTCTAGACCTGTGGGCACCAGCCGCACATTCCTCTTTTTCAGTGCATAGTCTACCACCCACTCATTCTCTTCTACCTGGATGTGTGAGAGGACAAAACAGAAGGGAAGAAAAATAAGAGGTGGAGGTGAAGGGAACTCCCAGGGGCAAATAGTCTCCCAGCCCTGTGTCTCCTGCCCTGCCATGGCAGAGATCTCACCATGATAGAACAGGTGCAGTAGACAATGTAGCCTCCTGTCTTGGAGGTGGCATTGACAGAGTCGATAGCACTCAGGAGCAACTCCTTCTGAAGGTGAGCACAGCGCAAGATATCTTTCTCATCCTGTTCAAAAGAGACACCCAGTGGTGTTGGGAGAAAAATGTAAGCAAGCCGGGTGCAGTGGCTCAAGCCTGTAATCCTGGCACTCTGAGAGGCTGAGAGAGGCAAGTGGATTGCTTGAACTCATGAGTTCGATAGACCAGCCTGAGCAAAAGCGAGACCCTGTCTCTGCTAAAAACAGAAAAACTGAGATAGGAGGACTGCTTGAGTCTAAGAGTTATGACACCACAGCACTCAACCCAGGGTGAAAGCTTGAGACTCTGTCTAAAAAAAAAAAAAGAGGGCAGCTAACTGCCCAGAGTGCTCCTCTACCTCGCTTTCCAGCCCTACCAGGTGACCCAGTCACCAATGCCTCTCAGCTGGTCCCACTACTTGACTCCTCACCTTGTTAGTCTTCACAGATGGGTCCTTGGAGATGACCCCAGTGCCACTGCAGGGAGCATCCAACAGCACTCGGTCAAAGCCCCCCACCACCTGAGGAAGAGGAGTAGGTTAATCAAATGTCTTCTGAGATCTATAGTGCACCATTTGTTTCCTATGGGCAAGTCTAAACATTCTGATGTCAGGAAAGGAGAATATAAACTGGAAAAAGCTTCAAGAGAGAGACACCCAGAAGAGCAGTCCCACCTTGGGGAACTGGCGCCCATCGTAGTGGCTGATAATGGTGTTGGTGACTCCCAGCCGGTGCAAGTTGCCCACAACACTCTTGAGACGCTCAGCATTGGCATCATTGGCCAGGATCACACCTGTGTTCTTCATCAGCTGGGCTAAAAGTGAGGGCAGGCCACAGTGCTGACCAACTGGATCTTTTGCCTCCACACTTTCTACCCTCCAGCCCAGGAATATACAAGTCTCTTTACTTCAAGGCAAACTTCACTCCCCACTCCCCTCTGCCTGGTCTGCACTGGGCCCTCATGATCGGCAAGCTTACCAGTGTGGTTTTTCTATTTTCACTGAATGTCTTTCTGGTCCTACAGACTAAGTTACTTCTTTTAAGTGCCAACAGCTCAAGAAATAGTTATGGTTGTTCATAATGTGCTGAACACTGTGCCACAGACTAAATGCATTATCTCATCTCTCCCAGCCTAAACATAATATGGAAGCCAAGCACAATTACTATCCTATTTTACAGATAATGAAAAACAATCAGAAGCTTGCCCAAGGTCAATGGGAAGTGGCACACCAGGTACTCAACCAAGGCTGACTCCAGAAACTGTGTCCTCACCACTCTGCTAGATGCCTATATACTGTGTTCCACGTACACTACGGAGTCACCAATCTCAACCAAGTATACTTTAAAAAGCAGAGAGCCAAATGACACCTCTGCCTGCCTTTCTCATACCTATATAGCTGGTCTTTCCTCCAGGAGCACAACACATGTCCAGTATCCGCTCATGTTCTTGGGGTGCCAAGGCCATGACTGGCAACATGCTGGAGGCTCCCTGCAGCATGTAGTGCCCAGCCAGGTACTCAGGGGTAGCACCTATGGAGGAGGACTACTCTGTGACATGCTGGGACAAGGAATGGGTCAGAAGAGCTATAAGGCAGGGGAAGACTTACCAATAGGCACTGAAGAATCATATATCACTAATCCAGTCTTTGACCACTTGCCCAGAGGATCCAGGTTAACTCCACGATTGATTAGTGCCTAAAGAAGAATAAAGATTTAAAAAACCTCATAGGCAGGCCAAGGTAGGAAGATTGCTTGAGGCCAGGAATTTGAGACTAACCTGGGCAACACACTGAGCTATCTCTACAAAAAATAGAAAAATTAGCCAGGTATGGTGGCACACGTCTGTGGCCCCAGCTACTTGGGAAGACCGTTTGAGCCTAGAGTTTTGATGTTACACTGGCTACAACCCTGCACTCCAGCCTAAGTAACAGAGCAAGACCTCGTCTCTAAAAAGAGACTGTCTCAAAACAAAAACAAAAAAACCCACCAAAACAAAAGCAACCTCAGAGACTACCCCAAAATAGATGAAGACACAAAAACCTGTTCATACCAGCACCAGCAGGCCCAAGGCACCAAGACTCCTAGAGTGCTTATTCAGAACAGTCACCACAGACTCACCAAGCAGTTTTTCTCCTCCCGTCCCATCCCATTGTATCCTTTCTCTTAACCTCAGCTTCCAATTTTCCAAGAAGCAGGCCCCTCACCATACTAAAATTTAATGATATTGGTTATAGCACAATAAAGGTAACTATTGGGTTGTCTCCCTACCAGGAGATATACAATATACAGAATCACACCACTGACTTTAAAACAGAACCCTTGAAAAGAAGTATAGAATACTGATTGTGCATGTGTCTTTTTCTAGAGTCAGGAATCAGTTTTTCCAACTTCTCAATCATCTGCATCCAATTCTTTGGGAGGCAGCACGTTTATCTTTTTTTTTTTTGAGACAGAGCCTTAAGCTGTCACCTTGGGTAGAGTGCTGTGGCATCACAGCTCACAGCAACCTCCAACTCCTTGGCTCAAGCGATCCTCCTGCCTCTGCCTCCCAAGTAGCTGGGACTACAGGCACCCGCCACAACCCCTGGCTATTTTTTGGTTGCAGCCATCGTTTGGCGGGCCCAGGCTAGATTCTAACCCACCAGCTCAGGTGTACATGGCTAGCACCTTAGCCATTTAAGCCACAGGTGCCGAGCCAGCGTGTTTATCTTGATGTAGCTATCTCACTCCAAACATAAGGAACAAAGATTGGAGGGGTGAGTTTCTCATTCCAAAGAGGTCCTAGGCCAGGCGTCCTCAAACTGAGGCCTGCCTAGGACATATATCCAGCCGCCAGGTGTTTTTGCCACCGCTACCTGTCCTGCTTAGCAGCCGACTCATCCCAGGGCCCACAGTCCGGCCCTCCAATGGTCTGAGGGACAGTGAACTGGCCCGTTTAAAAAGTCTGAGGACCCCTGTACCTAGGCCCTCAGCCTGCCTAGGCCTCTCTAGGTTTGCCTAAGAACTCACCCAGTCCTGGTGGGGGAAGGGAAATCCTTTGAGTTAGAAAAAGTTGGTACTTCCCTGAGATAAGTGAACATTGAAGGCTACCCCTTACCTGAGCAAGGTCTCGGCGTCGGGTTTTCAAGGTATTGGTTCGGAGGGTGATTGGCCGAGGTACCTCATTAGCTTCTAGAAACTCCACCAGCTGCAAAGGGGCAAAATAGCAGTCAGGTTAGCTAAGTAACTCGGTCCCATGAGGAGAGCAAGGGGACTGAACATCTTCTTTACACATGGTAAGAAACTGAGAAACGAACACACAAGAGGCATTAGGTTGGTGATCCAGTACCTCAGATAAAGGGAAGAGGTCCATGAGCTTGCTAAGCAGGAAATCTCCATATGAGTAGTAAGTTGCCAGATCTTTCTTCAGCCGATTCAGATATTCAGAACGAGACCGACCTTCCTCCCGCTGGGTCCCAAAATCACGCAGAACTCCCACTATATCCTGGATCCGCTTGTGAACTCGTTGCAGGTCTAGAGCCTGGGCATGTGGGACCGCTAAGGAACTGTTTCAAAGTGCCTGGAAATCCCTCTCCCAAGCACCTTCCTCCTCCCCCTCACTCTGCCTACAAGGATATCATGCTCCATCTCCCCAGCAGGGGGCAGCAGAGATGGCTCCTCATCATCCACATTGATCTTCAGGCCCCCATCTGTCTCCTCCTCCTTTGTGCTGCCTGACTCAGGTGATCCTTCTTCTTCCTCCTCTGTCTCATCACTCCACTGGACCCTATAAACAGGTCCAGGAACAATGATTCACAGTGCAAAACAGGCACCACCTCCTTCCTCACAGCTTCCTCTGTCCCAACTGCTGCCTATCCTCTACCTTAGCAGTTTCTCAAACTCACCTAGCTTCCTGGGCCTTCTGCTTCTGAGCAGCTCTTTCAATAGGCAGCAACTGCAGAGAAAGACAAGGGGCTGATAATGCAAACCTGATCTTCTATCACGCCACCTACTACCTTCTATTCCTCTTATTTAATTTTTTTGCTAAATACAAATGTAACAAAAAGAAGCTAAGAAATGGATATAAGATTAGCACAATGTTGATCACTGTTGAAACTAAGTGAGAAATTAATACTCTGTATATTTACTCTGTATTTTTCACATAGCTCAAATTACAACGTATTAATATTTTCAACTCTCCCCCACCGCCACCTCTGGGTCCCACTTTGTTGCCCATATTGGAGTGCAGTACACAATCAGTTCACTGTAACCTTGAACTCTTGAGCTCAACAGAGCCTTCTGCTTCACCTTACTAAATAGCTAGGATTATAGGCCTAAACCCCATCTTCAACTTTGTACTTGCTTTTTTATTTTTTTTGAGACAGAGTCTCAAGCTGTCACCCTGGGTAGAGTGCCGTGACATCACAGCTCACAGCAACCTCCAACTCTTAGGCTTAAGTGATTCTCTTGCCTCAGCCTCCCAAGTAGCTGGGACTACAGGCGCCCACCACAATGCCCAGCTTTTTGTTGTTGTTATTGCAGTTGTCATTGTTTTAGCTGGCCAGGGTCAGGTTCAAACTCATCAGCCTCAGTGTATGTGGTCAGTGCCCTATCCACTAAGCTTAAAGCGCCGCCTGTACTTGCTTTTTCTTTTTTTTTTTTCTTTAAATATTTGTTAGCCTTCAATTTTTTCTGCAGTTTTTGGCCAGAGCTGGATTTGAACCTGCCACCTCTGGCATATGGGGCTGGCACCCTACTCCTTTGAGCCACAGGTGCCACCCTATACTTGCTTTTTAAACTTCACGGACCAGAAGAATTTTCATAGTCATAATGCCAACGTTAACTCATCATATGCATAAACGTAATTTACTTAAGCATACTGGATACTTTGGAAGTTTCCAGAGTTTTTGGCAGTATGACTCACATGGTGCCTGCAAACCTGGTAAGTAACTCTGTAGATAGAAGAGGGGCTGTGAGAAAGGGGAGCAAATGGGTACTTTCTCTTTTTATCCTACACAATTCTCTACTATTTGAATTTTTCAAGCAATATATTCACATACTAATTGTGTAATAAATAACTTCTTGTACCTCAGTAAATAAACCTTTGACTACACTTTGAATCTGGAGCACTAAAAACCCCTTTCCTCTAGTCAGGCTTATCCTTGGCATCCAAGGATAGTCTCAAGAATCTAGATCCCTTTCTGAATACCTACAGTGGTGAATCTCACCTCTTCACCTTCATCCTCATCTTGGGAGTCGGAGTCAGCTCCATAGTCATCTACCATATCAGCATCACTGTCCTCAGAGCCCCAGAGGGCCTCCTGGTTCACCACACCATCCTCTTCAGAGTCTTCCTCCTCTTCTTCCTCATCACTGCTATGGGTTGATGCTGGACGCTTCTTGCCTCGAGTAGCATTAAACAAGGACTGGGCTCCCTTCTTAGCAGGTGTATGGCTGGCTCCTGTAGAGATCTCTAAGGTTTTAAGGAATCCTGGATTAATGGCAGCCACATATTTCCCTATTCACACCCCTGGAATCTGTACTTTCTACCGCTCAGAATGGCCTTTTTGGGTGCTCCTTTAATTTCAGAAATTCTTACCAAGTCCCTTCCATACCTAGGACCTATAGGACTCCTTATACAGTATGGCCATAAAGTTTATCTGCAATTCAAAATAGTTTTTAAAAACTGCACATGAACTTTATGGCCACCCTGTATAGCACCCAGGTACTATTTTCACTGACCTTTTGGTAGTTTTTCAGACAAAGGTTTGGTCCCAGATGACTTATATGTCTTAGGGGCTTCAGCAGAACCCAATCTCCTCTTGGCTGCCCTAAAAAGATATAATGACGAAACAAAAACATACCTCTAGGCTCTGCCATTTCCCACACAAAGAAATTTAAGTCCACAATTAGCCATCTTCACCAACCCAGCCCATGTGGCTAATGATGAGCAGTATAATTTAATCTCACACCCACATTTACCTTTTTCGAGCCCGACTAGATAGCCTTTTCGAATTTTCATCACCTACTGTGGAAAAAAAAGGGGGGGCCAACAAAAATAAGTCATGGGTTAAAGACACAAATGGGAGTGAAAATAAAAGAATTAGTATAATAATTAAAAGGAGTAAGTTTAAATGTCAGCCCTGCCATTTAGTAATTGCGAGTTACTTTAATGCTCAGCATCCATTTCCTTAACAGTAGCTCTCTCACAGGACTCTAAGAGATACAATGTGACCATAAAGTTCAGCAAAGTGCCCAGGACTTGCTATATCTTGGATAGAAGATCAGCACAATGTTGATCTGTATATCTCAACAAACTACATCTTTTACAGTACAATGTCTGACACCCATTCTCTGTCCAGTCTCCTCTCCCCCAAGTCTTCCACGCAGCAGACTACTCATTTTTTGAGAGCCAGATCTAAGCTTTCCCATCTCCAACCCTTCCAAAGGCAGTTCAGTGACTCTTCTATTCTCTCCTCAATTTCCTCTAGCTAAACTTTTACCTAATTTGCAAAATCCACCTTAGGATAAACTTCTGCAGTTCTGTATGGGATGCCTCTTCCTCTATTCCCAATATTAAATCATGCCTCTCCTCTCATGGTTATATGTGTCCCCAACACATCTTCCCTAAATTATGAACGCTGACGACAATGAGTGTCTCGGTCATACTTATTTCCTAATAACTCAGAAAAAACTCTACTTAAACAAAAAACGAATAGAGATAAAACAAGGAAGGGAAATGACGGAAAAGCTGGGGACTCAGGGAGCCAAGACTGACCCTTACCTGCAGGCAGAAATCTAATGAGTTCAGTCTCCGCACCCTTCTGTTTCCGGGCCTTTCGGCCTGGCCCGCGCTTCTCCTTCGTAGGGTCCAATTTGCGCCCCATGGCACTAGGAAAAAGAAAAAGGAGATAAATGCGTGCAGAACGCAGAGTGGGAAAGGGAACGGCCTCGACTTAGCACCCCCAACACCTCCTTGGAGGCAAGACGAAACCACCACCGCCCCCCCGCCCTGAGACCCTCGTCCCACGTCCCAGAACCGGTCAGAGATACCACCGATCGTTCCCCACCTTCCTCCAAACCCACCCGAAAGCGACGTGAAGCTGGGAAGAGGTCCTAGATGAGAGTCGCAGCAATCCACGTGCACTCGCGACTTAGGGCCCACGGAAACGCTTTACGCAGGCGCACGGAGCGCCCGGGCCTTGGCAGCCCCGCCTCTTCCGGTTGCGTCGCGTCGGCCACAGTACCCAGAGCTTACGGTCGCCTTGGGAATGAGCAGACTGCTATGTACGGCCCAGAGTGGAGGGGAAAATGGAAAAGAAACCATTTTCTGCCAGGCAGCCTTTCTCTCAAGGTGCTGGCTTTTAGCTTTTTGTCGGTTTCAGTCGGAAAAGCTGGGGCCTGAAAGCCAGCCCCTCCCCTCCAACCTGGGAACGACAGTGGATCCCTCCCTCTGACACCCACCACGTTAGATCCAGCCTCGAGATCTCCGCTCCACGCCCTACTCCCAACCCTTTAAAAGGGAAAACCTCTTCCTTGCAGACGCCACACCCTTGCTAAGCCAGCCAATACGGCGCCCCTTTGCCTAAATTCACATCTGGAAGTCAGGCGGGGAAACATCTTGCATCCCAGTTAGGCACAGTTCAGCAAGAAAAACATACCCAGCCTTCCTTCAAACTAATACTAAGGTAGTGTCTACTAGGTATTAACTGTTCCAAGCACTTTACTGGTTTATCTTATAACCCTGTGAAGTAGATGTCTTTATTTTATACATGGAAAGTCTGCAGCCCACAGTATACTTGCTCAGACACAGAGCCATTAAGCGGTGGTGCAGGTAGTTTTGCAGCCTCTTATATTCTATAGGTGGTCTTCCTTGGTCAGGCGCACACACACAACTCCCGTGGAACATCAGGACATGAAGTAGCCCCTCAGCTTCCAATTACACAGAACCCGGGACTCCTACCCTACACACTCATCCACCTGTGCCTATACCCACACTGAACCAGAGCACTAAAATACAAGGAAACTTTTATTTTCAATTTTCATCAAGAAATTTGCTGTGGTTTTTTATGCATTTGGTTCTTTTTCTTTTTTTTTCTTCCACTTTATTTCCTTCTAGCTGCTCAGTGGCTGGAGCCGCTGGGTTCCTGGTATTAAAAAGATGCCAACAGAGGTAGCTGTGTCTCGCCCAGGGGCCCAGCCCATTCTGAATACACCCCCCCCAAAGTTGAAAAGACAAAATAAACCAACAAAATAAAACCAAAAGGAGGAAGAAATTCAGATCATTTTCTTCAAGCCTGGCAAGAACCCACAAGAGTTTGTGTGTAACAGACGTTACAGTGGGCGAGAAGCCAGAGTCCAGAAGGCCAGCCGCCAACTCCCTGCAGGTGGCGCCGGCGCTACTGCTGCATGTCTCTCCAGCAGGAAGGGCACCACTGCCCCTCACTCCCTCCCCTCCCCCAGTGCATGGAGGCTGTTCCTTTACAACATGGAAGATGGGCAGAAGGAAGGTGAGGGCCTCTCAGGCCCCCAGGGGAGAAGCTGGGACAAGAGAAAGTGAGGAAGGTCACTGCTCAGCGGTGGAGGTGGTATCATCAACCTGGATCTTCATTGTTGCTGGGCTACCTATAATAGGGAAAGAAAACCAAGGGAGTCAGAATCCAGATGACAGGAATTCACCCAATCCCAAAGGAACTCACTGACACCCCCTGCCCAGTATATAAAAGCTAGGGACACAGAGCAAAGTTACAAGTTCCACAGTGGTACAGGAAGAGCTGGCAAGAAAAAATGGTTCTACCTGCTGTGGGGTAGGTTCGGGTGCCCGGTTTGCCAGGCGGCTAAGAATGTTACGCTCTGACATCTGTAACCTCACAGCAACTGGGGGAATTCGGGCAATGGTAGCTGGAAGTCGAGTCACATCTGCTTTCATGTCACTCAGCAGTTCTTCCAGCTGTTTCAGAACTGTATAAGGGAAAAAAAGAGGTGGTGAGCTAAGATGGTCAAGACTGAGTTCCTTGGCTCGGAACCCGTGCTCAGTAGTTAGGGCACCAGCCACATACACCAGGGCTGGGTTTGAACCTGGCCCGGGCCTGCTAAACAACGACAAGTGCAACAAAAAGACAGCCGGGCATTGTGGCAGGCATCTGTAGTCCTAGCTACAAGGGAGGCTGAGGCAGGAGAATCAATTGGGCCCAAGAGTATGAAGTTGCTGTGAGCTGTAATGTTACAGCACACTACCGAGGACAACATAGTGAGACTCTTGTCTCAAAAAAAAAAAAAAAAAGGATTCAGCACCTGTAGCACAGTGGTTACAGCACCAGCCACATGCACCGAGGCCGGTGGGTTTGAACCCAGCCTGGGCCAGCTAAAAACAACTACAACTGCAACAAAAAATATATAGCTGGGTGTTGCGGTGGGCACCTATAGTCCCAGCTCCTTGGGAGGCTGAGGCAAGAGATCTGCTTCAGCCCAAGAGTTTGGCTCAGTGCCTGTAGCTCAAGTGGCTAAGGCGCCAGCCACATATACCAAAACTGGCAGGTTCAAATCCAGCCTGAGTCTGCCAAACAACAATGACAACTACAACCAAAAAAAGCTGGCATTATGGCAGATGCCTGTAGTCCCAGCTACTTGGGAGGCTGAGGTAAGAGAATCGCTTTTGCTCAGGAGATGGAGGTTGCTGTGAGCTGTGATGCCACAGCACTCTACCCAGGGTAATACTCTGTCTCAAAAAAAAGACAATTCCTTCTACACTACTGGACTAGACTCCTAATTTTTATGACCAAGTTACTGTGATGTATATTGCCTTTTTCTGAGTAACTCGACCTGGCCTCTACCATGCTCACTCCTATTACTCATATTTCAGTTCCAACTATCCATGATTCTGTGCTTTTAAAAGACTCTCATTGGGCTCGGTACCTGTGGCTCAAGAGGCCAAGGTGCCAGCCACAAACACCTGAGCTGGCGGGTTCCAGTCCAGCCCAGGCCCACCAAACAACAACGAGGGCTGCAACCAAAAAATAGCCTGGCATTATGGTGGGGACCTGTAGTGCCAGCTACCTAGGAGGCAGAGGCAAGAGAATCGCCTGAGCCCAGGAGTTGGAGGTTGCTGTGAGCTATGATGCCATGGCAATCTACCCAGGGTGACAGCTTAAGGTTCTGTCTCAAAAAAAAAAAAAAAAGAAAAGAAAACTCTCATTGGCTCAGTGCCTGTAGCACAGTGGTTATGGCACCAGTCACATACACCGAAGTTGGAGGGTTTGAACCCGGCCCTGGCTAGCAAACCAACAATGACAACTGCAACAAAAAATAGCTGGGCATTGTAGCAGGTGCTTGTAGTCTGAGCTACTTGGGAGGCTGAGGCAAGAGAATTGCTTAAGCCCAAGAGTTGGAGGTTGCTGTGACCTGTGACGCCACAGCACTTTACCAAGGATGGTGAGACTCTGTCTGAAAAAAAAATAAAAATAAAAAAGACTCTCATTATTCTATGCTCTCTATTGTCTGTATTTCCTTCACTTGTTTTTTTTTTTTTTTTTTTTGAGACCGAGTTTCATTTTGTTGCCCTTGCATAGTGCCATGGCATCTTAGCTTATAGCAACCTCAAACTGTTGGGTTTAAGTGACTCTTGTGCCTCAGCCTCCAGAGTCGCGGGGACTATAGGCGCCTGCCACAACACCCAGCTATTTGTTTGTTTTTTTAAAGAGATGGGGGTCTCACTCTGGCTCAGGTTGATCTTGAACCTGTGAGCTCGGCAATCCATCCGCCTGGGCCTCCCAAGTGCTAGGATTACAGGCGTTGAGCCACCACACCCAGCCCCTTCCTCAATTTCTTGACAGCAGCTTATTCCTATGTCTCCTTTTCTCACTCTCACCTTACCTTTTTACCTTCTGGATCTGTTTCCCATATTCCTGATAACAGCCTTCTTTTCATTTCACCCTCATGATGTTTTACTTTGATTAGACAAAAAATGTGGAAAGGGGACTAGAATTTGATGGCATCTTAAATCACCTGAAGTTACTGCTAAAGTATCTCAGAACTATATTATTCACTTTGCTTTTTATCTCAATAATCTAAATATAGTAAAAGAGGCAAAGAACTACTAAGATATTAGCTTCTTGAGGATGACAAAAATCTCTAGCACATCTTAAGCTCCTAGACAAAAGGGCTCAGAAAAAGGTTTGGAAACAAAAGGTTTCTGTATGTTGGGATTGGGTTAGAGGAGGTAGGAGGATAAATTAGCAGTAGGCAGGGGAGCCACTGGCTACCTTTGTGCAAGACTGCATTGGCTGGCTTGTTTCCTGCCATTGACTCCTTGGACAGGTGCTGATGACTTTCGGCCAAACATTCCACTTCAGCAAATCGCGTGTTCAGGGCCATGGAAGGGTGAGAGGGGTCCTCCGACATGTTTAGGTAAGCTGCCCTGCGTAGCTGTTCCTCAATCACCAGGGCTTGTTCCAAGAGCTGGACAAGGTACAAAGAGACAGAATTGGACTGACACTCACTTTGCTCACTTCTGATTGGCCTCACAGCTCACCTCTTCCTCCAGGTAATGTGAACCTGCAGAGAACTTCATGGATGGCTCCCCAACACCATTCTCCATGCCCAAGCATCCAACACTACATTGCTTCTTTTGTTCCCTTTGGGGGCCCATGTTTTAAAAATCTTTACCCTTTAGATTCTCCCTTATAGAAAAATGATAAAAACTCGGCCAGGTATGCTGGCTCATGCCTATAATCTTAGCACTTTTGAAGGCTGAGGCTGAGACTCTGTCTTAAAAAACAAACAAACAGGCTCCGCGCCTATAGCTCAACC